CCCACCCTTCTCCCAACCAACTCCGCTATTTTATTTACATATCAGCGCCTAACCTCACATAGGCGTTTAGAATGAGCGTCATATCTGCAAAATCGCCATCTTACCCGTTCCTTTAAGGGTCAGCTGATTTTCTTGGCATAAACTACTATATAAGCGAAGAAGTATGTGATGGAGAAGGACCGTCTCAGTTGGAGAAAGACGCTCATTACAATTACTTGGAAGGTTCATGGGAGAAGTGAGTTCAAAAGAAAATATTTCCTCTCCAAAGTTCGAGCTAATATAGTTTTTTTGCGTGGACCTTATTCACTGTTTGCATGTTAAGCATGACGCTTTGAAGGATATCCGGCGATGGGATGTGGCTCCGCTTTGCACCTGAAGGGCTGACGGAGCTTCTCGAATACATCAAAAACACTTATAATACTCCTGTTCTCATAACAGAAAGCGGATGTGCCGACATATTGGGAGAAAAGGTCACAGTTCTCCTCGAATTTTTGTGCAACAACTTCCTTGACGCTTGCTTCCTTTTCAGAGTGAAGGCGTCGATCCTCTCAACGACGAACATAGAATTCGTTATATTAAGGGACACATCGAGGCAGTCAGAGGAAGGTAAGTTACCTTTATGCTACAGCGAACGCTCGATCACTTCCTAAGCTTGCGGAACCATGATTTCCCTTTACTAACCCCGACCTAAGATATGGACAACCTTCGCATGTGCTGATTCATTCCGCTCTCGGATGCTGGGCACGTCCTGCCGCTGAAAAGAGTTTTCCGAAAATACGACTCCTGATTCCCTTCTCCGATTCGATCCCTCCTTTCCTACCCACCACTTTCTCAGATTTTCCCAACTTCCTACCACTTCCTCCATTTTTTCGAAATTTCCAGAAACTCTTCTGTTTTTCTCTAAAATTCTGCGGTCGAATGGGGGAGGAGCTGTCGTTAGCAACCACTTACTACTTGTTTCAACTACGACACCCATCCCAACGCGAGGAAACGCGGCCTCTCCTCCCCCTCTTGCACCGTTCGTGAAACAAGAAAAATCAACTACCAAAAAAATTTTCTCAGACCAAAGACTACCCCCGCTGGGTACTCACCGTACAACGTGATTTGCTCGGACGTTGCCCACATGGCGATATCCAGCCCATTCTCTGGCGCTATACCGCTGATACCGTCGCAATCCGGCTTGACGCTGTCAGGTTAAGCAGGACTGGCACGCCAGGCAGTGAGCCACCAAAGTTTGTAGGTAGCGAGGTTGGAAACAGGAGTGCTGGTTGGTGATTCGCCTAAGGGGAGGGAACCGTCGAGAATGCTCAAAATAAAGCCCCGCTTGTACCGAGTGAGAGATAACGATTCGATGTAAATATCGGGCGAGAGGCCAAACAACGCAGTGAGATTCATAGAAACGAGCAAGACAGCAGACAAGACATCTGTCAATGCGGGTGGAGTACTTGAGCGACTTGTGCTTTACTTTCAATTCCTTACCAGTTTCTGACGTGAGCTTACACGGTTCTTCGTTCCAGTCCACACGACCTCTCCCTACAAAGAGGCGCTGCCTTCTACTGAGTCGGCGCTTTTAGCACTGACTGTTTCCTATATGAACTGTACGCTACAGATTTCAAAGGAGCCACTCGCCGGCTTCCCCTAGGACCGCTCCCTCGGATCGTGACGATACCAGATATACGTGTGTCTTATAGTAATACACTATG